GTGTTTCTATCGAGTTATAGAAGCACTCGGGGAAGTTTGCGAGAACTTAAAAAAGCTGAGGAAACACTAACCTGTCGGCTTGTGTTCCCACAGTATTTCTCATTCTCCCAAACTTCCACTCGTGTTTCTAATAAACAATTACCTTATGAGCTCTCAATTTCTATCACGTATAGAAATCAAGAGCGAATAATCCAATGTTTTAGTATAAATCTACTAGTCGTTCAAAACTCTATCTCATTTCTCTTCACAAACACTTTGAAAACCCCGCGAAGTGGCCGTCATTTTGTTAACAAGGGCACACTGATATGCTACCCACTATCTGTCACAGAATAAAGAGTGGGTAGCGTAGCCAATCAGATAACAGCATTCACGATAGAACGCTAGTAGATTTATACTAAAACTTGATAGAAACATGGTACACGTTTTCTATTTCTTAAATATTACGATGTGTAGAAGAGTGTAACTTCTACACAAAATTTTAGGTAGGCATCAGAAATTTCATGAAATTCTGTATCTAACCTTTGATACATGACTGTATATCCTCTCCATGAAAAATGTAGAAATTAAAATAAAAAGATAAATGTACAACTATCCATCATCTACAGAAGAAGATAGCCTAGCACTGCCACAGCCATGTTTTCCATAATGATCTTTTATTCATGAATATTGAAGTAGGAAAGCAGGTACTTTTATGCCTGGCAAAGTTCCATGCAGCATGTCTTGCTAGTTGGCATGTAAATACTGTTTTGAAACATGTTGAAGGGAGTACTGCTTATTAGATAACACACCAAGGCAGCACACACAAAAAATCATTTGCAATGTTGTTTCAATTGATGTGAAAAGTAGGATTTCATTCCACACGTACTAGTACTGAGTGCAATACTTATAATATTGATGAAGTTTAGTTTCAGGCTAGGCATTTTTTCTTGCAACTTGTCACATAAAATTATAAGACAAGAGAATGGGATTTTTGGAATATATANTTCTAATAAACAATTACCTTATGAGCTCTCAATTTCTATCACGTATAGAAATCAAGAGCGAATAATCCAGTGTTTTAGTATAAATCTACTAGTTGTTCAAAACTCTATCTCATTTCTCTTTACAAACACCTCGAAAACCCCACGAAGTGGCCGTCATTTTGTTAACAAGGGCACACTGATATGCTACCCACTATCTGTCACAGAATAAAGTGGGTAGCGTAGCCAATCAGATAACAGCATTCACGATAGAACGCTAGTAGATTTATACTAAAACTTGATAGAAACATGGTACATGTTTTCTATTTCTTAAATATTACGATGTGTAGAAGAGTCTAACTTCTACACGAAATTTTAGGTAGGCATCAGAAATTTCATGAAATTCTGTATCTAACCTTTGATACACGACTGTATATCCTCCCCATGAAAAATGTAGAAATTAAAATAAAAAGATAAATGTACAACTATCCATCATCTACAGAAGAAGATACCCTGGCACCACCACAGCCATGTTTTCCTTTATGATCTTTTATTCATGAGTACTGAAGTACGAAAACAGGTACTTTTACGCTTGGCAAAGTTCCATGCAGCATGTCTTGATAGAACTTTGGCATGTAAATACTGTTTTGAAACATGTTGAAGAGAGCACTGCTTATTAGATAACACACCAAGGCAACACACACAAAAAATCATTTGCAATGTTGTTTCAATTGATGTGAAAAGTAGGATTTCATTTCACACGTACTAGTACTGAGTGCAATACTTATAATATTGATGAAGTTTAGTTTCAGACTAGGCATTTTTTCTTGCAACTTGTCACATAAAATTATAAGACAAGAGAATGGGATTTTTGGAATATATATTTTCACTCTACAAACCAATTTCCTGTTTATATCAGTGAAAATATTTCACCAGCCTTGGTGCATGCATATTTGTACTTTGGCAAGACTAACCAAGCCTGATGTGTTGTTGAAGGACATCATAATTGATAAAGGTATTAGGTATTTAGGGTACCCAAATAACAGCCTAAAATGTGTTGATATCAGGCTCAGTGACTTGATATCACAGGAATCAGGGCAGTAGAAATGGCTGATTATTGACTAACTACAATGCCTAGAATGTACATGCAAGCTCGCATGTAAGAAAACAGCAATAAACTCAACCCAATCCCAACATAAACTGTACACTCCGCCTGGAAGATGCACTATCGATTTGCCATTTCAGTTTCCGCAACTAGTAAAAATTGCTATTTACAGTTCTTGATATTCATAGAACGATCACGAAATCCTTGGCAGTTCAAATATTCATTACCGTGTGGCTAAATATAGCATTGTTATCAAAAATTATACACCGTGAGTTCGAGTCTTTCACATTTAAACGTTCAAAATTCGTCCACGAAACCACAAAGAAGTTCACTATGATGAAAATTCCAATCTGCTCCTCAAAACAACAGTCCGTATAGCATCCGAGATCGCCAAATTATCAAAATTTTCACGAGATATTCTTGTAAGTTTAGCTTACACGTACGCCATATTTTCACACCTTAATTATTGACCGCGTAAAACACTGCGATATACATTTTTTTCAAGCTAACTATCACAAAAAAGTTAACCATGCTTCTTTATCTCACGAAGGAAAAACTTTCTGTTTAAGTATTTTTGTTAACTACTTACCAAAGTGGGTGCGTTTTCAACCAGTTTCACCATCTCGTAAACCGCCTTCAGCTGTCCTTCGCGAAGATTCCGATCTCGACGAACAGTCAGTTCTACCGCTTCTATTGGACTCTCTCCGCCTGCTAAATACTTGAACAAGTCAAGAATTTTTCTTCGCTTTTTCTTATCCAGCGAAATCCCTGTCTGAAAGTACTCAATGACGCTTATATCGATCGCTCCTTCCCCCATTCTGGAGCTCTCTTGCTGTTTTTCAGCTTCTTTACAACCACCTTCCTCAAAGTCTTTTACCCAGATCGTCTCGGGCCTTACATCCGATAAAAGTCTGGGCACAGCTTGGGCACTGCATAAAATTCACGGTGGGAGGGTGGGGCTGCTTTAATATATAGTTAGTGCCCACCCTGATTACCCCCTGTGCAAGATTCCCCCATTCCAGAGATTCCCCTTTTCTGTTTTAGACATTCCTTCTTCTAGAGATTCCCTATTTTATTTCCCTATTCTTATTTTAGATATTCGCTCTTGTAGAAATTCCCCGTTTCCCGTCCCGGTACATTGTTCCCTGGTCTCCTTTTCCAGTTCCTCAGTGTCCCCTTTGACTATATTTTTGGAATCACTTAGCATTTCCCTAGAATTATTTCAAGAAATTTCAACGAGAATAATGTAATAATGCGTCACTGACAACGTTTGAAGGAAATTAAAGTTCATAAACATACCCGGCAAAAATCATATTGGAATCGACTACAAAGTTTTTACGGGGAGGCTCACTCTGTTGTATACTATTTCGACAAGAAAGGTACCCTTTGGTATACGTTTGATTGAAAAAAACTAAAGGTACCCAAGTTTCACATGTTTTCATAACCTGGTCCGTGTCATAAATAAATCACCAAAAGAGGTCTTCAATTCTTCTTCGGTCATTTCCACTGATTTAGTGCCTAATAAATTAAATGATAGAGTCTTAAATTGAATTTTTCGAAATATTTTAATTGAAGGCCCCTTTAAAATAACTAATTGACAGATTTTCCAAGCTTTCCATATACCTCGACTTGTGGAATCCCTATCGCTCTGCAATACAGTAGCCCTGTTCCGATTTTGCTCGGCAACTCCTGAGCAACTTTTGGCGTTTTGACTGAACTTTTTGCGGTTCTAGCACAGGCGGCCCAGACGTTGAATACGATTAATACGTGACATTATGCTGTTGGCGATTGCGTTACAATTTTAGCCGTTTCTCGTTTCTCTTTAGGGGGAGCCCGGGGAGGGGGGAACTCCCATATGGAATGGACGGGGATGCTCGTCGTCTCGCTTAGGGGTGTAAATTTCGGATTTTGGTCTCGCTTAGGGTGTTCTGGGCAAAATGTCAACTAGTTAAATGGTCAAGATGAAGACTTATGACAATACTTTTATAAACTACTTATAGGCAAAAGTATTCGATCATAAGGTCTTCGCCATCATTAAAAGTCACTGTACTTTTTATTTGTCTGTTTTATAAACTGATCTCTTTTA